TTTTCTCCTCTCTTAAGAATCAGTGTCAAAGCCCAGAAAAATTGTGGAAGCTATATATTAAAGATGCCAGTGCTTCCATTAGCCTGCATCCTTGAGTCATGCTGTAGAGCAGAGCTCTTACCCCACCAAAGGAGAACACTTCCATTTGATTGTTACAACACATAAAAAGAAAAAAAAAAAAAGCTTTCTGTTATGTCACTGAAGTTTGGAGATGGAGGTTGATGATAATGCCACCAGCAGTATCGCAAAATAATATGGCCCAATGTTGATGACTAAAGAATTTGCGTTTACTTGACAATAAACTATTTGTAAAAAAAAAAAAAAAAGAAAAAGAAAAAATTAAACATTAATAAAAAAAGAATTAGTGTCTGATAATCTAATTGAAAAGTTAAAAATCTTTGCTAAGGTTAATATTTTAACACAGAAAATTTTGTCTAACACAAATAAACTTGAGGCACCCAGAGGTCATGAACTTCTGCTGTTTCCATGAAGCCCTACTATATCAGTTCTACCTTGGGGCTATGGAACTCTTAGAGCTAATGTCTACAGCAGTTAGCCTAGACAAGAAAACAGAGATTAAGAGGCATAAAGAGAATTTTGGAAAGAATACACTTAAGATCCTCAAGGGTACAATGCTTTTGACTAAAAATAACCTTAAATAGCTTACATGAAAAGCCTTAAACACTAATAGCTACCACCGAGGTATAAAGTTAAAAAATCCTACACACATACCACCATGCAGAAGAGGACAATAAAGAAGCTTGCTTATTTTGAGTGTGAAATTGAATAGAAAACAAAAATAAATGTCCTTGGAGACTCCATAACCACAAGCCAGCCTTCACAGAACAAGTCATCTGGAACTCTGTAAGTTCATGATCAGTGCTGAAATTCATCAGTGTCATCAAGTTCTTGAGCCCTTTCCACAATTTAATTCTATCGTCGTCAAGACTTGTCCTCACAAAGTCTCAAGACAGTTCCACACATCATCGCCCCATACAGAAGAGAAGGAGGCATATACATACCGATATGTATTACGTGTGTGTGCATGCCTATGTCTACATATATGTATGTGCATATGTGTATACATTCATATATACACATGTGTATACACATACCTGCATACATAAAATTAAGCAGAAAGCAGATGTTTCCTGAGCCGAATCTGTGTTATATGCCCACATGTAAACCAATCATAAAGAAAGAAGCTCATATTCTAGTAATGAAAAATTATCCTTTGGTTTAGGACCCTCCTTCCATAAACACATTGTTCCCCAATACCTTACAAAAATAGGGTTCCCTCCAGGTCCACTATTGACCTACTGATTCAGAAAAATTGAGGGTAGAGCTTCACAAATTGAGTTTTGAGGAGAATTTCAGGTAGATTGGTTGTACGCTAAAATTTGAGAACCACTATTTTATCATGTAAAAGAAAATACTAAGTTTTGGGTAGGTAGCTAATAGTTTATGCCCTACCTAAACATTTTCTAAGTAAAGATGGTACTCTTTTTCAGAGATCATAATAAAACTAAATAGAAAACAGTCAAAAACAAAAAAGCAAAATCCACAAAAGCTGTAAAAACCACAAGGGTTACAAAAAGATAATAATGTACAGATGGAATAAGATTTCAACAAATTCAGAAAATAGAGGAGTCAGATGTGGTAACTATTTTGTAAGACAGAGGAAGTTATAAAATGTGTAATAATTGAGATTCAGTTTACCTCCACAGACTATCAGAGAGACTAAGCACTTAGTGATGCCAAATAAAGGGAGGATAAAGTTGAAAATTGGAACTTAAAGTGACAAATGCTTGAAAGCCTGCATTCAAAAAAAGCCTATTCACCTACCCATGGATTGAATGCGGAAATGGTATGTACCACCCTAAGCAAGGTACAGGAGACTTCTGTTTAAAACAGAATGGAAATACCCAGGGATTCAAAAACTAATACTCATCAAGGTGGGAAGTCTGAAAAATAACATTGAACGTGTAATCTATTGGATCGCTACAGTTTACCTGCCCCATCTACAGCAGAAGTTCGGTTGTCAGGAAGCTAAACCCTAAGCAGAAGCTTCTGCAAGCACTGGAGACTTTGGGCATCTACTTTGACTCCACTAAGAGTGTTAAAACCAAAGATAAATTTTGGCCCATCAAGAAGGAAAAGCTAAGAGAAGACTCTCACTAAAATGTCAGCTCATAGAATTATCATCATGTAACATGAAAGAGAAGTAAACCCCACCACGTTAGGTGGGAAGGACACAGAGAAAATTTACCTTCTTGGCCTTGGTGCCAGTTGTGGTAAAGATGGATCTATCTATCTATCTATCTATCTATCATCTATCTATCTATCATTGTAAAATTCTTAACTTGTAATAAGAGCATGGATTGTAAAATTCTTTTTTTTTTAATATATTTTTTAAATTTATTTCTAGGAGAGAGAGAGACAGCGTGAGCAGGGGAGGGTCAGAGAGAGAGGGAGACACAGACTCTGAAACAGGCTCCAGGCTCTGAGCTGGCAGTCAGCACAGAGCCCGACGCGGGGCTCGAACCCACGAACCGCGAGATCATGACCTAAGCGAAAGTCGGACGCTTAACCGACTAAGCCACCCAGTCGCCCCAAGGATTGTAAAATTCTTAACTTATAACAAGAGCATAGACTTTGAAGGAAAAACACCACTAGAAATAAGAGGAACACCTCGTTATTGATAAAGTTTCAATTCACCAGGATAATATAACTTCTTTTAGCTTTTGCTTAATCACATAACCAAAAAATATAAGGGAAAAGTCAAAACAAGTGTTATACCCAGATCGCAGTATCCTCACCGACCAGAGACCACCAGGGAGACCGAGTCACGCATGCAAAGGCAAAGGGCTTTATTACGGGCTCGAGGTCGGGCTCACAGACTTCACCAGCGCATGGATCCGTGCTGAGAGCCTCGAACAAGGGCAGAGTAGGGTTTTTATGGGGTTTGAGACGGGCGAGTTACAGAAGTTGTGACATAGGAACAGTGATCCAATCATAATTATTCAACATTATTGACACCGGGTTTAACCATACACATTGTCTAGACTATTCGTTACTTTTGGCGGGATCCAATTACAACATTTAGAGTGCCTTTAAATTCAACCAATTACAGAGCGAGCCTAGAGTCTTGTTCAGCGACTAACAGGTTAACTTTAACATTAGGTAACAGGGTCCTATCTATAGTTTCTATCTCCAGGCCTCTCCCTTAACAATGTGGAGGGTGGTCGCTGGCCTTTCCTGATTGGGTGTTGCAAGGGTGGTTACTCCTGCCTTGGGCAATGTGTAACTACCTGATAGGAAGCTGAAACTCAGGCCTTCTAGTTTAGAGGGGAAACTTAAAGACTGTCATGGAGTCAGTTTGGTTTAGACATTTAGACTTGTGGCCTTACACAAGAAGAAATAGACAAATCTGTCATTCTAATGAAAAACTTTAATATTCCTATGAATAATTGGTAGAATAAACAAAGTATCAGCTAAAGTAATAGCATAATTAAGAAATTGATCTCACACACACAAAATACAATACCATATACAACAACTGAAGAATACACCTATTTTTCAAGTATTTATAAAGTGTGTACAAAAATTGGCTATGTACAGAAGGGACATAATGCAAGTCTCAAAAAATTTCAAATGATTAAAACTATTCATAGTATTTTTATGGACCACAATATAGTTATAAATAATAAGATAACTAGAAAATTCTAACTTCTTGGCAATTAGGAACTAACAGGTGTCAAGAAGAAATGATATTGGCTGCCCTAATGTACAGTAGACTTTTAAAAATATGAGATAAACCCCAGAGATCAAAAATGAAAACACAGTAAAAGATGATTAAAAATGAAAGAGTTTTGAAAGCCACCTTAAGTAAGATTACAATCCAGAGACCCAGTAGGCATCTGTTAAATGAGGGATTCAATCCATAAAATGTAAAGACCACAACACATCAGCAAGTGGTAAAAATATCCCAATCCAACAGACAACCCTGTACTAAATATCAGACATAACCCAGAATAAAATGGTAAAATGTTCAGTAACCCTATGAAAGATTACTGAACATCACGAACAGTCAGAATTAACAAAAACAAAAACAATGTCTTACTTATCAATTAGAATAGCAAGCATTTGGAATTGATATTGAGGCAGTGGAGAGATGTGGCAAAACTTTATTGGGCAGAACAGTGACAGGTTAATGATAGTTACTGAGTGCTTACTGTGTGCTAGGCATCAGTTAACTTTTTGCGTATTTTAACTTCCTTAACCCACATAAAAATCTTATGAGATAGATACTATTAATACCCTCATTTTATAGATTAAAAAAGAGGCAGGGAGATTGTAATGTGCACACAGAGAAGGGATACAAACGAGTGGCTGGTTTCCTTCCTCCTTTTAACTTTTTTTCTCAGTTTCCCTTTCACCTTTCTCCATAATCATCTTTATTGTTTGGATGATCATATGTTCCTTTTGTAAAGAAAATATTTTAATGAAAAAAATCATTGAATCCTTTAGTTCAGTTTAACAAATATTTGCTTACGGAGTCTGTTTGCCAGTTGGGCGGGGGTGGTGCAGAAAAATTAAACATTCTAAACACGTCTTGTCGGTGTGATTGTTAAAAGTTGTTAACCGCGTTTGATGGAGAGAGAGGAGGGGGGACGGAAGAGGGAAGAAGAGAGAGGGAGAGAATGAGAGGCAAATTGGGAGAGAGAGAAAGAGAGCTACAGAGAAAAAGCACCGTGAAGACAACCAGCTTGACCCGTCCTCGTTTGTACTCTGAACCACCACTGCTCACGAGCTTTGAAAGTAACAGAAATCTAAGGGATGGAGATTAAGAGCAGAGAAACGGAAGTTCCCTACAGTTTGGCGCCCAGGACACCACCCGGACGGCAGCCACTCCCCCCGTTCAGGACTTTCCGAGTCCGAGCTGGCGTCGGTCTCCCAGTTAGGTTTTGGTTGCTAGAGCTACGGAACTGACTTTGGAATCTCTACCCAGAGCAAGGAAGGGGGCGGGGCCCGCAAGTCTCACGCCCTCAGGCGGCTACACTGGCTCACCGGCAGGGGGAGGAGCCCTTTTGTGTACCTAGCGTCTGAAAACGAAACCGGGAAGGATCCTGTGCCTCGGAGGTCCGTTCCAACCAGCGCTGGAGCACCTGCAGCCACAGGTGGGCCGGTGACTTTCTCGTCCCCCTGCCGCGCGCGCACCTGGCGCGGGACTTGAGCGGGTTCTCGGGACCAGTCGGCTGTGTTTGTGCCGGGTGAGTGAGTGGGGACGGGGGCAGGGGGGCTGGTCCCGGAGGCCCGGGGGAAGGGAACCCCGGAAGGGAAGCGGCGACCCGCGAGGGGGTCCAGTTGGCCCAGCGGTACCCCAGGCCCGACCCGGCACCAGTGGTAAGGTGTCTCTTCCCTGAAAGCGCCTTGCAGGCTCAGCGGCCCTTTACTACCGTACACCTCTGGCCGCGCTGAAGAACCCGGCAGGAACCAGGACCCTGGGTATCCGCTAGCATACTGGACCAAATACAAGAGATGATTAGTAGGGCCTCTTAGCCGTCGCGTAACAGGATGTATTAATTAGGGGTATGGCTGAACCCCAAAACTGTGCCAGCCACTCTGGAACACCAGACGAATTGGAAAGATAGACGTGGTGTATAGCTTAGAGGTTAAGACCATTAGCTCCGGTAAGACCATTAGCTCCGGAGTCCACCTGCCTGATTTGAATCCTACCTCTACTACTTAATTGCTGTGGACTCTGAACCAGTTTCTTCATCCTTGTACTTTCCTTGCCTCATCTCTGAAATTGTGCAGTGATCAAACAAGGGTTGCAAGCGTTACGGTATGGCATGTAGTCGTGTAAAGCCGTGGGAGGTGTGTCTAGCTGCAGAAAGTACTCGATAAAGTTAGCTTTTATTATTTTTGATATTTGACAAAATCCTTGCTTCTCTAAACTCATTAATCTGGTTCCCACGTGGTTTTATTTGTAAGGTTATGACTGTAAATCCTGTAATGGCCACCTCCCAGTTCCAGAAACAGGCGGATATTGTTTTTCCTTGTTGAGCAATTTGAGAAATCGGGTTTATTCATCTTTCCCTTATTCTTGAACTTTCTTAATAGCAGAACTGTCCTGGCCAGTAGGATAACTGGGGCTCTGAACACTGAACAAACGCAAGGAATGAAAATTAAATGGAAAGGGAAATGAGTGGATTTCTGCAGTGGATTGAAAAGTGGCATGTAAAATAAGTGGTTTGGTCAGAGATTAAGCAGCCTTCACATTAGTAAGGGAGCTGTTCTTTACGATCAAAAGGAGTGAAATAATACTGTACACATATTAAGTCAACAAGCACCAGTTAAGTGCCTTGTCCTGGACAATACAGGCCATATTCTGGTCTTTGAGAGCATAGAATGCAGGTACAGAGACATTAAATGGGTACGACTGCCCCCCATATATCTCTCTATTCTCATGTCTGATCTCTTTTTTTTTTTTTTTCTATAATCCACAAATGTTTCATTTCCTTGAATGAGTCAGCCTCCCTCTAGCCACAGGACATGTACAGTTCTCTCTGTCTATAATGCCTAACTACCCCTCCCAACCCCCACCCCATGGCCTGGTTGATTTTAGACTTCTTTGGGCTCTCAGATTCAAAGGAAGTTAGGGATAGAGATTTCTGTCATTGTCTTTAGAACAGTAACACTTTCCTAAAATAATTCAGAACATATGTCCACCTCTTGGGACTCAGAAAAATGTTAAGTGGTTAGTTCTTAATTAAGAAGTAAATGTAGGGGAACCTGGGTGGCTCAGTCGGTTGAGCTTCCGGCTTCGGCTCAGGTCATGACCTCACGGTTCCTGGCTTCGAGCCCCGTGTTGGGCTCTGTGCTGACAGCTCAGAGCCAGGAGCCTGCTTCCAGATCCGTCTCCCTCTCTCTCTCTGCCCCTCCCCCACTCATGCTCTGTTTTTCTTTGTCTCAATAATAAATAAACATAAAAATTTTTTTAAAAAAGAAGTAAATGTAGATAAATAATCCAAATATAGTTTATGCCTAGTTGATAGGCATAGTGGTCTTAGGATCTTCCTAAATTAGGGATGTTTCCCTTGGGTTCCAGATTTTACATTAGTATTTTTTTTGAAAGCAGTAAGATAGAAATTTCAGGACCCCAAGATATGGGTCCAGAATGTCACTGTCATGTGATTGTGGAACCATGACTGATGTCACCAGCATCATTTCTCCTTTTGCCTGACCAAAGAGGTTTATAATTTTCAAATAGCCCAAAACAGCAATGGGTGTTGATAAGGGAAACAAAGGCAAGAAAAATGTAGTTAAATTAAATCCCCTTCCAGCTTGCAGCCCTGTGATAATACCAGAGACCTGTAGAGCATGTGACATTCCTCAAGGAGTTTATGGCTGCCTTAAGGCCTTAATGTTTACATTCTATTGAAAACTAGAAGCAACTTTATCTTGACAATAGCTAAATCTTCAAGTTCCTATAAGACCCTAATTCCAGCATACAGAAATTTCTTAGAAACTCACTATCTCTATATCCTCTCCTCCACAAACCTTCAAGTATATCATCAGTCACTCCTCACAATCCCATGCAGCTCTTTCTGCTCACAGGTCCTGGCCCTGTGCATTAATAAAATCACATTTTTGCACCAAAGTTGTCTCAGGAATTCTTTCTTAGCCATTTGCTTACAAACCCTACTTCAAATTTCTTCAGGTCTGACATGGTGTCTAATAGAATAATTTTACCAGAAATATACTTACATGTATATAGTGTATGATATGCTAATCTCAGAAACTCTCATTTAACAGAGTTAGGTAGAAGTGTATAGTAATCAGATTATAATTTGCAGTTATATATTTGTCTTGAAGTTATTAAGATTCCAGTGGTACAGGGGCACCTGGGTGGCTCAAGGGTTCATCATGTCACAGTCTGAGTTTGAGCCCAGTGTCGGGCTCTGTGCTGACAGCTAGCTCAGAGCCTGGAGCCTGTTTTGGATTCTGTATCTCCTTCTCTCTGACCCTCCCCTGCTCATGCTGTCTCTCTCTCTCTCAGAAATAAAGAAAAACATTAAAACAAAATTTAAAAAAATAGCAAACAAGTGTGGACAGGGTGACATGGTGTTATCTTTATTCCACAAGTGCTTTATTCTACCTGGCACACATACAGGTCCAACTGCCACTTAACATTTTGTACCACAACTTATGACATGCCATTTTTCGTGCTTGAGATATTATATAATTGCAAAAATTCTAAGACCTACAGCAAAGTGAGGACCCAGATTATGTTCTGCAGTAGTTTTACCATTAGGGATTTATTCTCACACATGTGCCATTTAAGACTCCAAATAATGTAACCAAAATGGAAAGAAAAGAGCAAGTAGGAACAAATAAGCTCTTCTTTAGAGTCTGTTTAGTTTCCCTTCCTTGGATCTCTGGGCAAGAGGTTTTGCCTTAAGGGTTAATTGTAATTAACAGGCATTAAGGGGGTTGGGATTTAAAGTGGAGAGATCGGGAAAAGGGATCAAGGAACTGGAAGACAAAAGTGATGAGGAGGGAGCCTGAAGTAAGCTGACAGGCCAGCCCCCCCACCCCCCACTCCGACCAAGGGATTTGTGGGATATTCCTCAGGCACTCCTGGCTGCCCAAGAACAGAAGAAAGGGGAAAACAAATGGTTAACTGATAGTGAGCAAATCGAAGGACTGGAGTCTCCATCTATTCACAAATATCTTTACAAATATCAATAGCCTAATCTCCTTAGTGACTTGGGAAACAAAGGGAGAAGGAAATGGCAGATAGACCTAAATGTTCTTACAATCTGCAGCCCATTGACAAATACTTGAGGCTGGTTGAGTAAAATGTTTCTCCAGGAACCCCCTACTGTCTTAATGCTAATGTTTTGCTAAAGGGAAAACAACCTTTGCTTGACTACTGCTAGGCCTTCAGTATCCTGGGAATAATTTTGAAAATATGAAAATCTCACTGGAAACTTCCCCTGGACATTAACCCATCCAACTCCGTAGTTCATAACCAGTCTCCTCAAGGTCTCGGGCAGCTCTTCCAGCCCATGGGTTCTGTCCCCGTGCTTTAATAAAATCGCTTTTTTGCACCAAAGACATCTCCAAGAATTCTTTCTTGGCCGTCAGCTCTGGACCTTACGAACCCCAGTGTCACCCCAAAAACCTCATAAGTACTGAGTACAATGTCTTTTGGGGTTTTTAAATTATTCTTCTCTATAGAAATAACCTAACAAAGTTTTGGTTGGATTGTCATGGTGCTACCACTATGACAACAACCCCAGAGAGTGGGTTTTCTGGCTAAAAGTATATCTTGTAACATAATAAACAGTCAGGGCTTTTCAGATTTGCTGTTCAAGATGGGCAGAACTTATCCATAGAATATGAAATACAGAGATATTTTCAGTAGTGTGATCTGATAGCTAACGCATTTGTCTGTCCAGGTGAACCATGCCTAGAGTCCAGCCTCCTTTGTGTAAGCTGGAAGGTTCCAGTTTTTGACTTGGTTACAATGTGGGGTCTTGGGCTCACAGCATTTTCTCTCGGCCTTCTACCTTATAGGACCTTCTCCCCTCAAAGGTTTGTGGGAAATGTCCACCATCCTGGGGTGACTCACAACTTCTTTTTTTTTTTCACAACTTCTTAAGTCATGCCCAGAACCACATCAACAGGGGATGGGATCAAGACCAAAGGGTGTAAATAAACCAGATTCTGGTAGACTAGATGAATAGAGGAATATCCTATGTGTGTGTATGGTTTCATGGTGTCTTGTTGCAACAGTCATATTTAACCTATAAATTTGTAGCCGAGTAATATCATGTCTTTTTTTTTTTCAGGACTCTTTAAATCATGGAAAAACAAAGTAAGTAATTTAAGTGTTGACTTCTTTTATGATGTTAAAACTGTTGTTAATGTGTTCTTATATAATTTTTTATACAGTTTCTGAAAGGATATAATTTACTTGGCTTATTTATGCTCCAGAAACCAAAATCTAGGTCATTTTTTTTTACTGTAGAGACAATGTACACATATATCCACTACTGCTAACTTTTCCTGTAAAAATAAAACCTTAAATAAACCTAAGGAATTTTAGTCTTAGTGGGAAATATGTTATATAATTTATACTGTATTCCATTTAGGTTAGATGTCCCCTTTTTGTGTGAATTTTATATACATAAACCTCATTCAACTCATGTTAAATTAACAGATAATAAACTTAGTATGTCAGCCCATTGCAATAAAATCTTTGGATATATCCCTGCTATATATTTCATCACATATACACATGAGCAGGTTTAAATAAATACCAATGATTATGTTCTGGCTTTTTGCCTATCAAGAAAATTCTAAATAAGATGGGTATCAACCAAGCATATAATAAAAGTTTTTTTTTTAAATCTAAAGTTCTGAAGAGAAAAGCAATGCATATGGGGGAAATATGAAAAAAATCCTGTTTTATGAGAAGATTCATAGTACCTGTTTACTTTTGTTTACATACCGAAGAGATGTTTATCTCTCACCACAATGTCAGCCTTACTAGATGTATTAGATACTCTTTAGGACTAGAAACCTCAGCTTTCCTTCATGAAGCTTCAAGATCTCTCTCTTTTTTTTTTTTTATTTTTGAAGGTTCATGATCTCTTAATGTTTGCTATATGAATTTAATTTTACTTACAAACTCAAGGCTTTTTAAATGTAAATTGATGCAGTATTACACTGTTTATATTGGCTACAAGCATTAGGATGCTTCAGATCACCATAGAAAGATTCTTTTGGCCACAGTCATAGTCACCTTTTAACTCTTCATCTTCATATAGATAATTGTGTGTATGTGCATAAATAGGAATAAAATGTATATATGTATATAAATACATTTAGAAGTAAAAATTATCATTTTGTTTGTTAATGTGATAGTCCAATGGTATCTATAAATTAAGTTTCATTTCACAAATGCAGAAATCCATTTTTTTTTAATGTTTGTTTATTTTTGAGAGAGAAAGAGACAGAGCATGAGCAGGGGAGGGGCAGAGAAAAAGGGAAACAGAATCTAAAGCAGGCTCCAGGCTCTGACCTGTCAGCACAGAGCCCAATGCGCAGCTTGAACTCACAAACCGCAAGATCTTGACCTGAGCCAAAGTCAGAAGCCCAACCAACCGAGCTACCCAGATGCCCTTGCAGAAATCCATTCATAATTCATATGATCTTTGGCCTCTTTGACCACTTGCCTATTTGTTTATTTTCCCTTTGTATGAATTCCTGCTGAAATTCCTAAAACCAGGATTAGCACTCTGGAACCGAAACCCCAGAGATTATGAGCCTCTAATTTCTTGACTTTGTCAGCTCCTAGATATGTGTATGTATTTATTGTTGTTCAAACAACGGTACCTAGAGGTGCCAAGATGTGACATGTCATTTAAGAGTAAGTATGTTAGTCAGACTTGCAGTTTTTTTCTTGATCTGTTAAGTGTGATCTGGTTGTTTCCAGCTCACGTTGGGAGTGGTGGCTTTTGGCAAAGACTTGAGAGCTAGAGAACGAGGAGCTAGGCCATTTTCATGAAGCCAACAAACAAGGGATTGGTTGGGATGGAATGACTTGTGGTATTTCAGAGATCTGTGATCATTCAGGGTATGTTGTAGTAACTGTTCATGAAGAAACCCTTAGGAAAGTAGAAAATTCTCTTTTACTGGAATATGCACCATCTCCATAGACTCCATTCTGCAGAAGTTATCATAGTCATTTGGATGAAGGGTGGCTCACAATCCAGTTTTCCCACTGAAACCAAATGAGTCGAGTAGTCTCTGAAGGCCTATGATACAGAAGTATGTAGAAAATGTATCAGACTGGAAGTTTGACTAACTTTTTCTTCTGTATTGATGCCATGTCCTCATCATTCCATAAGAAACTATTTTGAATTTATAGTTAAGAAGCTATAATGAAACAGGAATACATGGTACAAACGTAGTATCCTCTAGACCTTAAGTTCTGTGAAAAGCCAGGATAGCCTCAGAGCTAACATCAGAGGCAATACAGGAGATGGTCAACAAATATTTATTGTCTGGCTGGGATGGCTGCTAAATGAGTGACTAGAAAACAGAAATATGAAAAACTAGGAGGTTCAACCACTTGTACATATATCAAGAATATTCAACAAAGTTTAATGTGTTAGTTTATTGTAATTCAGTCAGTTATGATTTTGTTGGTCAAAATCAGTTACATATTAGGAATTTCCTATGGTTCAACCTTATTGGTTAATTGCAGAGTAAGCATAAAAAGGATACTCAATACTGAAATATATGCACTATTTTAAATATTTTAAAAATGATTCTTTGGGACCCCTGGATGGCTCAGTCAGTTAAGCATCCAGCTCTTGATTTCAACTCAGGTGATGATCTCATAGTTGTGAGATCGAGTCCCCCATGTTGGGGTCTGGGCTGGGCATTATGCCTGCTTAATATTCTTGGTTTCCCTCTCCTTCTGTCCCTCCCTTGTTTGCACACATGCACATGCACTCTTCCTCTGTCTCAAAGATAAAAGGAAAAAAGATAATTCTTACAGCAGTAACTGTAGATATCTTTAAAATCATCATTATCTTTCCATCACCATCCCTCTATCCAATTAGTTTAATTTTTCTCTCTCTTTCTTCACAGTCTGTATGTGGTTTTAAAATACTTTTTCCCCCTAATACCAACATAGAATTAGATATTAACACCTGAAACACTTCCAAATATGGAACATTCATCAAGCATATTTGAAAGCTAGAAGTTCAGCCATAGTAACTCAGCTGTCTCATCTTATGCAAAAAGCAATTTGTTTGAAACTGATTCTACTGCAAATTAAGTCTGATAACAAGCAACTTTTGTTAAGTGAAGAATTAACTATTTTATATAGATAAATATAAATGAAATCATATAATAAAAAGATCATATAAATGAAAATTATCTAAGGACAATGTATTTTTCTTTCTAATATATGTATCTTTTTTCTAATATATATTTTATTAAAGCAAATATATGTTTATCTCTCCCTGAATTGCAGATAGACAAATGAATGCTCCTTACCCAGGAACAAATTTACCACCTGAATATCTCCCTCAATATCCTTCAGCAGCACTCCAAGGTAAAACATTTGTCTAAGAATAAAACCAAAATTATTCAATTACTGATATTCCCTAAAGGGTGTATGTATGGGTGTATGTATGTGTCTGCCTCTGTATATTTTAGTAGTGTCTTTTATTAAAAGTATAATAATGAAATTGGCAGCCTGCTTCTTGGTTTTTTTGTTTGACTGTATATTATCATAAATAATGTAATGATATTATGCTATAATTTTTACTTACACAGAATAGTAAAGATGTAGAGTTAACAAAAACAGTAGTCTGTTTACATTTAGCAAATAATGTTTGCACAAAAATACACATTTGAAGTAAAAGATTTAATTGATTCTTCATCTGTTCTGAAAATTGTCATCACATAATCACATTTAGATTTATCCCTGGGTGTTTTTGAGTCCTATATTAGCTGAGGGTAAGAGGTGACCACTTAAAACTGGAAGCTGTAAGTAATAAAACTGTAGCTGCCTGGGGATAATTCTCATTTTCACTTTGTAACATATATGAAAGCTTTGCTTTTGTATACATGCTAAATCCTGCCTTGCATCTAAGAAAAGTAATTGAGGCGTATTACTAAGTGCTAGTGTGTAAATTTTCCCCTTTGAACCAATGAATGAAAGACTTTAGAGATTTTCATTTAGACAAATGTAGTTATCAAAATTACTAGAACTTTACTACATGGCAAAATTTCTGGAGCACCCAGATTTGCAAGTAGTCAGACTCCCATCTTGAGAGACCACCTTGCAGATTTAGGATCAAAAGGAATCAGGTTTGGGCAAAAGGGTGTATCCGTTTTGTATTTTACTCTGAATAAATCTGATTGGAAACTGAATGGCCAGTCTAATTGTCTAGCCAAGAAACTTCCCAGCAGTGCCTGGATCTCATCCAGATGTTTGCAGTTAGAGGAATCTGAGCTAGAAGATCTCTAAGGTGATATTTCTCTAGAGTGCCTGCCCTGAAGTACTTAGTGGAAGAGTTAAAAAATACTGTACCAGGGCACTATCCCAGGATAATTTAAGCAGAAGTTCCATTAGAGAGACCCAGGGATTGGTAAGAACCGCTGCCCTAAATTCTTATATGGTAGTTGTTTGATGAATTATTAGCATGCTGGAATATTGATCCAAGACACCTGCACAGTGGTTAAATCTATCCCACAGCTAGTTAAAACTAAGTGATACATAATTAAATTCAGTTATAAACAGACTTGAGAGTTTGTGAGAAAAATAGTTTATTTCTCAAGTCCAGGGCCATATGTAGTGCAGATCTTAATATGACAATGATGCTAACAATAATGATAGTTTTTATTTTTTTAAATGTTTGTTTATTTTTGAGAGAGAGAGACAGAATGTGAGTAGGGGAGGGGCAGAGAGAGAGAGGGAGACAAAATACTCCAAAGCAGTCTCCAGGCTCCATCAGCACAGAGCACGTGGGGCTCGAACCCGCAAGCCATGAGATCATGACCTGAGCCAAAGTCAGATGCTTAACCAACTGAGCCACCCAGACGCCCCTAACAATAGTGACAGTTTAAGAATGAGAGCATACTGTGCATAATGTGAATTAACTCACTTAATTCTCATCCTCTGAGTTAAATACACAGTATGCAAGTGGGAAAAAGGCATAGAGAGGCTGTATCAGGCTTCAGGTTCTGGCTTCTGCACTTAATGGTTGTGTGGTGGTTCATAAAACTCACTACCTTCAAGCCTCAGTTGTTAGCTATAAAATAGGCATAATATTTTCTCATTCAGGTTTGCCTGGAGATTAAATGAGAGTATATATAAAGTACCTAGTACAGTGATTTGCAAATAATGAGGGATAAATATTTGCGATTCTACTAATAATCTGTTAGATTAGTTAGACTTTATACAAATGAAAACATCCAAATTTCAGGTAATTCTATAAATTTAATCCACTGATTTGGGAAATAGTCAACTATCCTCTCCCCAAGGGTGCAATGATTAAAATAATGCTAATAATGTCACCTGTGAACTCACATATCATCATCCTTGGCTTGCCTGTGATCAGATCTTTGCACTGTAGCAAGTGATCTTTAAAAATGCCTATCTGTTTATATTACAGACTGTATTCAATGTGTACATCATTGGCTTTTCATTGCTTTTAGGATAAAAGCCGAAAGGCTTAATTTGATTCACCAGACTGGAGAGCCTCCCCTGTCTTCTCTTTAACTATCCCTTAAGCCTGGCTCTCTGCTATTCAAGTCAACTTGCCTTTTTACAGATTATTAGGAATGCTGTATGTATTACTATCCCAGGGCTTGCCTGTGAAACATTTTTCCCCATGCCCCTGGTCTACTCAACCAGAGAAACCCTTATGTTTCTCTCTGCCTCAAACATGCCAAATTCATTCCTGAAATCAGGGATTTTTTTAATTTGTTTTTCTTTCCTCCTACAAAATTTCTCACCAGCTCTTTACACAAAGCTTTTCCTTATTTGTATTTTAGATCTCAACAGAATTATTTTTTCTATCTAAAGTACCTAGAGTTGGGACACCTGGGTGACTCAGGCGGTTAAGCATCTGACTTCAGTTCAGGTCATGATCTCACAAAAATTCCTTGAGTTTGAGCCCCATGTCCGGCTCTGTGCTGACAGCTCAGAGCCTGGAGCCTGCTTCAGATTCTGTGTCATCCACCCCATTCATGCTCTGTCTCTCAAAAATAAATAAATATGGAAAAAATAAAGTACCTAGTTGATACCTTTCCCTCTCCACCATGCATTTTCTCTATGAGTTCAATCTGAAATCTTTTTAAAAAAATTTATTTCCTCTCTCTGAAAAGTTGCCTGTAAACTCCCAGAGGGCAGATTGCCATGCTGAGAACTGAATCCTCAGATTCTAGAACAGAGCTACCCACATTGTAGAACATCTGTAAATATTTTTGTGTGAGAGAATGAATTATAAAAACTATTTTTAATGTTTATTTATTTATTTTTTCTGAGAGAGGGAGACAGTGTGAGCAGGGGAGGGTCAGAGAGAGAGAGAGACACAGAATCTGAAACAAGCTCCAGGCTCTGAGCTAGCTGTCAGCACAGAGCCTGACGCAGGGCTCAAACCCACGAACCACGAGATCATGACCTGAGCTGAAGTCGGATGCTTAACTGACTGAGCCACCCAGGTGCCCCATAAAAACTATATTTAAAAGATACTAGTAGGAGGTTCAGTCTCCTAAGAAATCTTTTTTTTTTAATGTTTATTTATTTTTGAGAGACAGAGACAGAGCATGAGTGGAGGAGGAGCAGAGAGAGGAGACACAAAATTGAAGCAGGCTCCAGGCTCTGAGCTGTTAGCACAGAGCCTGACGCCAAGCTCGAACCCACGGTGAGAACATGACCTGAGCTGAAGTCTGACACTTAACTGACTGAGCCACCCAGGTGCCCCAGAAATCTTTTTAATAGTGTTTTTTGCCATCAGTATTCTTTTAAAAGCATTTATAAATTGTATAATCTAAGTATTAAATTTTATATAACCTGTCCTGTTAAAATATTATGGAACATATTCTTTTGAAATTATATTCCATTGCTATGGGATTACTACTTTGTAGAGTATTCTTATAACCTTATGAAGCTTCATTGTAATCACAAATTCACATAAAATATAGAGTGTACACTTAAGTAAATTTCTTCTTACCGTGTGCTTATTAAATACTCAAGGTGAGTTTGCCTGTTGTAACTTTTTACCTTCCTTGATTCTCCCAACTGTATTTTCCAGAGTGCAAAGGGTGGTAAATTATGAAATTTAAATTTGTAGCCTAACTATCAATAATGAACTTTTTTTTTTTTTTTTTAACACATAAAAGGTCTTACAATAGGAATGCACCATAGGGTAAAAGTTAAGGCAAATTTTTAACCCAGATAAGCATCTGGACAGTTCTGGAAGTAAGGACATGTCTTTACCTCTACACCAGGGTTTCTCAATAGCAGCATTCTCATATTTTCAGGTGGATAATTCTTTTCTTTTTCAGGATACTATTCTGGCAGTTTAGGAAATATTTAGCAGCTTCCCTGGCCTCTGTCTACCAGATGCCAGTATCACTCTTTGCTCCGGCTGTAACAGCCAAAAATGTTTCCACACCCTGCCAAAAATTCCCTGAGGGGGCAAAACCACCCTCAGTGCTGCACATAAAGGAGGTACCGTTTCTAATTATTCCAGAATTAATCATTTTTAATAGAGTGCTTTAGTTTTAGAAATGTGGACTCAAAGCCTTACTTTGGGCCTTTTACTCTTTCTTGCCAGCTCTCTTTTCTATTAAGGCATTCCGTAATCTTTATGTAGGTGACTCTAGATCATTGTTGATTTTCTGTCACTTTCTTAGGTTTCACATGTATTTGCAACTGAGTTTTGAACAGTGGGTAAGACTTGGGCCAACTCTGTTCACAGCCCCAAACCCTGTAAGAATAGATATGAAACCACAGATATTTTATTGAAAAATCACTGAAAGATAAAAACAGAGTTTAAGCTTCATAGAAACAAGATTTCTGAGCTGAAATTTCAGTTTATTGAGTTTTAGGAGTAATCGCAAAAGAGTTCATATTTCCAGTTTTCTGTGCAGCTACAAATTAAATTACTTCATTTTTTTTTTTTTTTTTTTAATTTTAGGACCTCCAGGATATACTGCCTACTCTGCCCCCCAGGTTGGCTATCCTGGCCCCCAGGTTGGCTACCCTGGCCCCCAGATTGGCTACCCTGGCCCCCAGGCTGGCTACCCTGGCCCCCAGGCTGGCTATCCTGGCCCTCAGGCTGGCTATCCTGGCCCCCAGGCTGGCTACTCAATTCCCCCAGCTGGTTATTCCGGTGCTGGCCCAGCAGACTTTCCTGTCCAACACCAGCCAGTATATAATCAGCCAGGTGGACGTGCAGGGGTACCGTGGATGCCAGCACCACCACCTCCATCAGGCTGTCCACCTGGATTGGAATATTTAAGTCAGGTAATTTCAAATCAATGAAACACTCATTTTATTTTTTTTAAATTTTTTTAAAATGTTTTATTTATTTCTAGGGGAGAGAGAGAGAGACAGCGCGAACAGGGGAGGGTCAGAGAGAGAGGGAGTCACAGACTGAAACAGGCTCCAGGCTCTGAGCTGGCAGTCAGCACAGAGCCCAACGCGGGGCTCGAACCCACGAACTCCGAGATCATGCATGACCTAAGCGAAAGTCGGACGCTTAACCGACTAAGCCACCCAGGCGCCCCTCATTTTATTTTTTAATAAGACTGTGCTTACAGTTTACTTAATGAAACTAACAAATGACTAATTCACAGAAGTCTTAAATGGTAAAACATTTTTCACTAACAAATTACTATAATTCTTCTAGATCAGGTTTACTTTTAAAACAATGTCTTAGGAAATTGTGTTTTCTATGATCTTGGATATAATCCATGGTAATGACCAATAGCAAACCTTTACTAACTACTGTTTTCTAGACTGTCCATAAGTGTAACATATGTATTAACTTATTTAATCCTTTTATAAACTTATAATATAGGCACTATTAATTGCCATCATTTTACAGAAGAGGAAACTGAGGTCCAGAGAAATATAATTTGCTCAGGATCAAAACACTAAGGAAGTGGGGATGACTTTTCACTACTGTAACCTTGGTTCTAGATTTCACTCTCTTTAATCCCAACACCAGATAACTTTCTAGGAGGTAGAAAGAAATATTAAACTAAATTTTGGGTTGAATGTCAACAGTGGTACCAAAAAAATTCCTATTTTGTATATAAATGATTCACGTTTTTATTATAATTAATGAAACTATTTTATGATGTTTTGTCCTTTGGAAGAACCAATTTTTTTAACACCATCAGTAAGGGAAAAAAAATACTGGATTATAATGTACTGCATGATACCATCCCAGCAATGTGAGGGTGAGTATTTGTTTAGTGTTAGAAATCTGGTAGGTAGAGTAGGAATATAAAATTCTATGTGTCGAATCTATAAACAAATATCCCCGTGGTCACCATCCAGTTTTCTGTAAATGAATCCTCTCCATACTAATTTAATTTTTCACAATGCACTTGGGTAGCAAGTACTGTAAGAACTCCTAGTAGGTCATACATTTTCCAAGAGATACCTTAAACAGATTTTTTTTTGTAAATAAGGCCTTACAAAATATATAGGGGTAGTTACTATCTGTTCCTAAGGATATCAGACACTTCAACTTTTTTTTTTGGTTTTGGAAAGCCCTTTAAATGAATAAAGTAGCTTAATATTTTTTAAGCCTTTTCAAGAAGGAACTTTAAAAAAAATTTTTTTTAGAGGGATTCCAGTGTGAGTCTATTCTATTTCACCTGAATTCACCCACATGAATAGTGAACACATTCAAGGTGCTTTCAGTTAAAGATACGTTAACTTTCATTTTATACTTATTTAGGTATAAAAGTTATATTATTAAATATTGATAAGTATTGATAAGTGATTATGTGAATTTCTTAAAATATAAAAACACTATTAATTTAGTTGCCATAAAAAACATGGAAATACACTGATAGCTCTTTTTTTTTTTTTTTTTTACTATAATAGATAGATCAGATACTGGTTCATCAGCAAGTTGAGCTTCTGGAAGGTATGTATTCATCATATTGATCATATTTCTAGAAAGAGGAGATGTTTATACAGACAAAGGCATATCAGCAACCATAAATGTAATGCTTTTACTGATATGGAACAGTTTAATCTGGTTATTTCAAATGTCTCTCTTCATGGTAACAAAATGATGACAACTATCAGTAGCTCATTTCTGGAAATTAGGAGTCAACTAGTAAAATACTATTACTCTGACAATCTGCCCTCATGATATAGACCGTAATTTAGAAGGAAATGAATCAAAACTTACTTTTACTCCCCCTTCTCTTCAGGCATCACTCCAGTGATTCTGTCATTTCACATGACTTTTATCACTTCAGCTGTTTTTTCCCCATCTGTGATGTTTTTGATATTGACATAGAGCCACATGCAGTAGTCAGTTACCATAGTACATTTCTAAAGCAAGTAAACTTCTTCAATTTGGATGGGTATATTGGAAAATTGTGTTTCTGCTCACAACATCTATTGGGAGTTCATACAAACCCTGTAAGACCCTTGTTCTACGGGCTGTGGATTACCACATTGGGGGCATGGCTTCTGTTGGAGTGTTAGAGGATGCTGGCCAGCAGGCCCGGAGGCTTGGCTTCTCACAACAGCACTCCTGCTCCCGTGAATGGGGCCTAACCTCAATAAATATCTCCTTGCATACAGCACTCCTGAGATGCAAGGTAAACTTAAGAAGCTGATAGAAGTTTTGGGACTCTTGCCTAGGGAGAGAACTAGATGGATTCATGAACCATAGTCTGTGTCTTCTATATATAAAGAGTCTAATGAATACTCAGATAGTTTTTAGAATACATGTGTTAAGTCCTTCTTCACCTCTCTGCAAAGTCCCTTTCTGCTGGTAGAAATATAGCATGAATTGTAAGAGCAGAGGAATAGATTTGGTTAGAATATACAGTTGTTGCCTATTTTATTTAAAATGCTTAAAAGACACATTGTTAGATATTTATAATATTCTTGTCTTGTTAGTTTGTTTATACCAAGTTTTCTCTGGAAAGGAGTTCTTTGTTTGATAATTTGTACTCTGAATTTTTTTGTTTTCATGTTTAAAAATTTTTTTAAAATGTTTATTTACTTTTGAGGGGGGGGAGGGCACATGAGCAGAGGAGGGACAGAGAGGAGTCACAGAATTAGAAGCAGGCTCCAGGCTCTGAGCTGTCAGCACAGAGCTGGACATGGGCTCGAACTAATGAACCGTGAGATCATGAGCTGAGCTGAAGTGAACCACCCAGGTGCCCCAATTTAATGTTTTATTTTAAGAAATTTATTTTTGAGGTTATAGCATCAAACTAGAACAAAACAGATACTGTACATTATTTAGCACTCCATTTATAGTTTTAAATGTATTAGTATTATATATATATTTGTGGGATATGTATTTAATCATGAAATGTAAATAAAGCAGGGACCAAATTTAGTAGTTATTAATTCTTCAGTGTTTTAAAAGATATGTCTTTAATTGTCTTGTTTTCTTCTTGTTTCAGTGAAAGTGCATAGTGTAGGGGCACCTGGGTGGCTTAGTCGGTTAAGGGTCTGACTTTAGCTTAGGTCATGATCTCGTGGTTTGTGGCTTCGAGCCCCACGTCGGGCTCTGTGCTGACAGCCAGCTCAGAGCCTGGAGCCTGTTTCAGAGTCTGTGACTCCCTCTCTCTCTAACCCTCCCCTGCTCATGCTGTCTCTCTTTCTCTCTCTCTCTCCTAGAAATAAATAAAACATAAAAAAAAAAGTGCATAGCGTAATATTATGACAGTATAAAGAGGTAAAAATTAGGAACCCCTGAGTGGTTCAGTCCATTAAGCATCAGACTCTTGATCTCTGCTCATGTCATGATCTCACAGTTCCTGAGTTCAGGCCCCACATTGGGTTTTGCACTGACAGTTCAGAGCCTGCTTGGAATTCTCTCCTCTCTCTGCCCCTCCCCAACTCTTGCATGCACACACCCTCTCTCTCTCTCAAAAATAAAACATTTAAGAGTGAGAGATGAAGATTATCCAGTTTATTTTTACCATCTAAGTCTATGATAGGCACTTAAATAGTTCTCAGTGCAGACCTTTATAAACAATAATGATAGCCATAGATTTCTTTTGTTTTATTCTTATTTTTTAAGTAACTTAGAAATTGTGTAAACCCCTTGATCTCATTTTAGAGATAAACAAGATGAAGAATTTTGAGATTAAGCTACTTAATAAGACACTTAGTTAATAGAATTCCATGTTCTTAATCAGTTTAATTTTTTTTCTCACAAAACATTTGACTGGCCGGTCAAGGGGATTCTTACAGATGAAGAGTGCAGAGCCTGTCAGAGCCAAGCAAAGGCACTTACGGGAGGTCATGATGATAGAATTTATGACATCTCTGACTAAAAGTCTGTCCGCTCAGATATTAGACAGTGGCTTTTGTCTCTGTCTGTACCTTTAATCATTATTTTGGTGGCTTCTGACATCCTATGACCCAATAAGAACTATAGACAAGTAAAACCATTCATTGCTCCTTCCTGGCTTTAAGCAAGGAGAGGTTTGTAATGTGTGATTCAGTATGGGAAGCCTATTGATAAGATACCACTTGAGCATCAACATCTAGCATACCTGTGTTTCCCTGTGTAGAGATTAGCCCCCTCTGAAGTATAGAGCCTACTTAGGCTGCCAGTGGTCTAGATATCCTGTGAGTTGCAGCCTTTTGGTTGCCAAGCACGTATTCGCCTTGTCTAATATTCATCTCCCACTTGTAAACAACTAACTACTGCTGAGCTAAACAAGGGTGCTCTAGGCCCAATGTGATGCTCTTATTTACCTCCATTTTCTCACTCTCCCTTCTCACATGTGTGCTTTAAGAGTAAGCCCTCTCTATAAATGTCTATGCACCAAATTCAGGAGCACCCAAATATATAAAATAATCACAAACATAAGCAATCTTATTGACAAGAATGTGCTAACTGAAGGGGACTTTAATACTTGACTTACAGCAATGGATAGATCAACTAGACAGAAAATCACTAAAGAAACAATGGACCTGAACAGCACATTACACCAGATGGACCAGACAGAAATATTTAGAATTCTACATCCTGAAGCTATGGAATTCACTTTCTTCTCGAGTGCACATGGAACATTCTCTAAGATATATCACATACTGGGTCACAAAGCAGCCTTCAATAAATATTAAAAAAATGAGCTCATACCTTGCACACTTTCAGATCACAATGCTATAAAACTTGAAATCAACCACAGGAAAAAGACTGGAAAACCTCCAAAAATATGGAGGTTAAAGGATGATTGGGTCAACCAGGCAATTAGAGAGGAAATTAGAAAATATATGGAAACAAATGAAAATTAAAATACAACAATCCAAACTCTTTGGCATGCATTAAAGGCAGTCCTAAGAGGAAAATATATGGCAGTCCAGGCCTATCTCAAGAAACTAGAGAAAGCACAAATACAAAATCGAACAGTGCACCTAAAGGAACTAGAAGCAGAGCAGCAAGAACACCCCAAACCTAGCAGAAGAAGAGAAATAAAGATCAGGGCAGAAATAAACAATATAGAATCCAAGAAAACAGTGAACACATCAATGAAATCAAGAGTTGGTTATTTGAAAAAATAAACAAAATTTATAAACCACTAGCCAGGCTTCTCAAAAAGAAAAGAGAGAGTACCCAAATAGACAAAATCATGAGTGAAAATGGATTTCTTACAACCAATCCCTCAGAAAAACAAGCAATTATCAGGGAATACTATGCAAAATCATATGCCAAAATTGGGACAACCTAGAAGAAATGAACAAAGTCCTAAACACACACACACACTACCTAAACTCAAAGGGGAAGAGCTAGAAAATCTGAAAAGACCCATAACTAGTGAAGAAGTTGAATCAGTTATCAAAAATCTCCCAACAAATAAGAGCCCTGGGCCAGAGGGCTTCCCTGGGGAATTCTACCAAACATTAAAATCAGAGTTATTACTCATTCTTCTCAAGCTGTTCCAAAAGATAGAAATGGAAGGAAAACTTCCAGACTCATTCTATGAAGCCAGCATCACTTTGATTTCCAAGCCAGGGACCCAGCAAAAAAAGAGAAATACAAGCCAATATCTGATGAATACGGATGCAAAAATCTTCAACAAGATACTAGCAAATCGAATTCAACAGCATATAAAAAGAATTATCCACCATGAGCAAGTGGGATTCATTCCTGGGTTGCAGGGATGGTTCAATGTTCGCAATCAATCAGTGTGATACATCACATTAACAAAAGAAAAGATAAGAACCATATGATCCTGTCAATAGATCCAGAAAAAGCGTTTTACAACATACGGCATGCTTTCTTAATAAAAACCCTCGAGAAAATCGGGATAGAAGGAACTTACTTAAACATCATAAAAGCCATTTATGAACAGCCCACACTAATGTCATCCTTAATGGGGAAAAACTGAGAGCTTTCCCCACTGAGATGAGGAACACAACAGGGATGTCCACTTTCACCACTGTTGTTTAACAGTACTGGAAGTCCTAGCATCATTAATCAGACAACAAAAGGAAATAAAAGGCATCAGAATTGGCAAAGAAGAAGTCAAACTTTCACTTCTCACACATGACATGATACTCGACGTGGAAAACCTGACAGACTCCACCATAAGCCTACTAGAACTCATCCATGAATTCAGCAAAGTTGCAGGGTACAAAATCAATGTACAGAAATTGGTTGCATTTTTATACACCAATAATGAAGCAACAGAAAGAGAAATCAAGAAACTGATGCCATTCACAATTGCACAAAAATCATAAAATACCTAGGAATTAACCTAACCAAAGATACAGGAGATCTGTATGATGAAAACTATAGAAAACTTATGAAGGAAATTGAAGAAGACACAAAGATATGGAAAAACATTCCATGCTCATGGGTCAGAAGAAGAATTATTGTTAAAAAGTCATTATTACCCAAAGCAATCTACACATTCAATACAATCCCAATCAAAATTGCACCAGCATTCTTCTCACAACCTGAACAAACTATGCTAAAATTTGTATGGAACCACAAAAGACCCCCAATAGCTAAAGTAATTTGAAGAAGAAAACCAAAACGGGAGGCATCACCATCCCAGACTTTAGCCTCTACTACAAAGCTGTAATCATCAAGACAGTATGATATTGGCACAAAAACAGACACATAGACCAATGGAATAGAATAGAGAACTCAGAATTGGACTCACTAATGTATGGCCAACTAATCTTTGACAAAGCAGGAAAGAGTATCCAACGGAAAAAAGACAGTGTCTTTAACAAATGGTGCTGGGAGAACTGGAGAGCAACATGCAGAAGAATGAAACTAGACCACTTTCTTACACCATACACAAAAATAAACTCAAAATGGATGAAGGACCTGAATATGAGACAGGAAACCATCAAAACCCTAGAGGTGAAACCAGGAAACAACCTCCTTGACCAGAGCTGCAGCAATTTCTTAGTCAACACATCTCCAAAGGCAAGGGAATCAAAAGCAAAAATGAACTATTGGGACCTCATCAAGATAAAAAGCTTGTGCACTGCAAAGGAAACAATCAACAAAACTAATAGACAACTGATGGAATGTGAAAAGATAGTTGCAAATGACATATCAGATAAAGGGCTAGTATCCAAAATCTATAAGGAACTCCCTAAACTCAACACCCAAAAAACAAACAATCCAGTGAAGAAATGGGCAGAAGACATGAATAGACACTTCTCTAAAGAAGACATCCAGATGGCCAACAGACCCATGAAATGATGCTCAGCGTCCCTCCTCATCAGGGAAATACAAATCAAAGCCACACTGAGATACCACCTCACGCCGGTCAGAGTGGCTAAAATGAACAAACCAGGAGACTATAGATATTGGTGAGGATGTGGAGAAAAGGGCACCCTCCTACACTGTAGGTGGGAATGTAAACTGGTGCAGCCCCTCTGGAAAACAGTGTGGAGGTTCCTCAGAGAATTAATAGAGCTCCCCTATGATCCAGCAATAGGAATTTACCCTAGGGATATGGGAGTGCTGATGCATAGGGACACATGTACCCCAATGTTTATAACCGCACTATCAACAATAGCCAAATCATGGAAAGAGCCTAAATGTCCATCAACTGACAAATGGATCGAGAAGATGTGGTTTATCTATACAATGGAATACTACATGGCAATGAGAAAGAATGAAATCTGGCCATTTGTAGCAACATGGATGGAATTCGAGGGTGTTATTCTAAGTGAAATAAGTCAGTCAGAGAAAGATACAGTATGTTTTCACTCATATGTGGAACAGGAGAAACTTAACAGAGGATCATAGGGGAAGGGAAGGGGAAAAACTAGTTGAGAGGGTGGGAGACAAACCACAAGAGACTTTTAAATACTGAGAACAAACAGGGTTGATGGGGAGTGGGCGAGGGGGAAAATGGGTGATGGGCATGGAGGAGGGCAATTTTTGGAATGAGTACTGGGTGTTATATAGAAACAACTTGACAAAAAACTATACTTTAAAATAAAAGAGTAAACCTTCTCATTACCTTGACGCATACTGTGCAAAAACATAAGCTGTGAATATCGTGAGTATATAAAATCTCAAACCAATTAATTTGATGAAATATTTCATAGAGTATAAACATAGCAACCATCCTACATTCACTACATAACTGAATATATGAAAACTATACCAAATGGATAGATATTTTTGCCTACACCTAGCACAACTATAGTCACCTCTACCATTGTACCATTCCTCAGCAGCAATCTATCTTTCTGGCAGAAGTCTATGCAATTAGGAAGGAGGAGTGGTTTTCTTTTCCATGTCTCACATAGGGTCGCTTAATTTCTATACCTTAATACACTCTCCTTTCCCTTCCCCTTTCTTCCTCTGTCTAGATCATCTCTAAACACCTTTCCATTTCTTTTTCTCTGTGTTAGAAGTATCATCTAAAAATGGTGTAACCTGTTATTATAGAATCTTAGGGTAGATCCAACATTCTTTTAATATAATGGTCATAATAATTCTCTCTTTTATGTTTTTAGTTTTAACAGGTTTTGAAACTAATAACAAATATGAAATTAAGAACAGCTTTGGACAGAGGATTTACTTTGCAGCAGAGGACAAGGATTGCTGTACCCGATATTGCTGTGGGGCTTCTAGGCCTTTTACAATGAGGATTGTTGATAATATGGGCCAAGAAGTTATAACTCTGGAGAGACCACTAAGGTGTGACCACTGTTGTTGCCCTTGCTGCCTTCAGGAGGTCCGTGAGCAATTACCAGAATGATTTCTAAAGTAGTTCAGCAAGAATTTTTACCCTTTCATTGAACTTAAGTAATCAAAAGAGATTTAAAGGACAATTGGTCCATAAGCTCTTGGTTTATACATGAAATTGAATTGTTCAAGAAGAAAAGTAAGTGAAAAACAATTGAACAGTTAGTCTCACGTGCATGAGTAGTGTGTCTCATGCAGTTGAGGTCAGAGATCTCAGAGACCAGTCTTTCTGATCTTCATGGAGAGCTGAGAAGGTAGGGCACCTTGGCCACTCCCTTACTTAAAATGAACATGAAAAGCCCAGCCAAAGCCAAAGCAAGGACACCATGGAGAATATCCCAGAATATCCTAGGTATCTTCATCTCACAATTTTGGGCAACCTACTAAGAAATGAACCTAGGAGAAGCCCTCCCTGAAAAATATCAATGCCAGTGTTTTTATTAATCCATAAATTAATGTATTTGGGCCTCCTATAAGGGGTGTACCCTAGTTGTGAGTACCTTTAGCTCCAGAGAGACCAGGTGTCTGTTTCTTATTACTTGGCAGTCCACTGATGGAGAATGTGGATCTCAGGGGAAATGCTGGGATCTCCTAATCATTCCATACAGGCAGCTGTGCCAGTATGAAAGACATAGTGACAAGCACATGAATATTTGAAATCTAATACTGTACATATTTTAAAAAGATATCTGAAGTTGTTTATACTGAATTATTTTATTTTCCATGTCATTTAGGTTAGATAGAATAATATCCATAGGAATCTCTGAGGAAATTGATGGTATATGCACTCTAGTATAAATAGTATATTATCATGACTTGTACTATTTGGTGGTAAAAAAAAAAAAAATGGACCTAGGAGGTCATCATTTACTGATAAGCACACTGAGGCACATGCAAGTTCACCAGGCTAAGTAGCAGAGCCAAGACTACAAGCTTCATTTTCTTTCCATTTGGGCACCATTGCTATTCATATTTGAAAATAGCACCACTGATCAGAGCTATGTTCCTACATCTAAACCACTATTTTTTAGAAAGTTTAAGAAAAGAGTTCCTTAAAATTTAGACATTTTTTATAAAAATGGAGATTAAAAATGTATGAGGCCATTAAAGCAAGGGTTATGAGTGGAGACTATACATGCAGCCTCCTCAAGTTTGTATCTCCTCTTTTCCAGTTTGTAGTTGGGAATCTGATACAAGTTCATTAACTTCTCTGTCCCTCAGTTGCTTTCTCTATACATAGGGATAACAGTATCAACCTTGCAAGCATGTGTTATGAATTAAATAGTGCTTGAAACAATGTCTGACACTTAGAAAGTATTCAATAAATGAGTTATTACTAGACATTATAATTATTATGATTTATAAATATTCTTTTGCCTTTGTAGATAGAAGTCCATGCCCCTCCCGGTGTACCTGTAGGTTATGTTATTCAGACCTGGCACCCATGCCTTCCAAAGTTTACAATTCAGAATGAGAGGAGAGAAGATGTACTAAAAATTACTGGTCCGTGTGTTGTGTGCAGCTGTTGTGCAGATGTTGATTTTGAGGTAAGAGATGTGATAATATTGTAGATCTTGCTTTCCTCATATAAGACTAATATAATTTGGGAGGATGTTATAATTACATTAAATAAATTTGTGTATCCTGATATTTCAAGAGGAAGACCGTGTGCTTATATATTTAACTTTGGTCAGAGAGGTGGTTATTGCTCTGATTAACATCAAGTGTTGATTATGCTAAATGGAAAAAAGAGAAGCAGAGCCTCATAGTCAAATCAATAACTATAAGCAAAGCATCCAACATTTGACCATGGTAGTTTCTGTATACAAGCCCCATGTTATGCATTTAGGATAAAATGGTAATCTTGTCATCTAAGTCTGAACGCCAAAGCGTATGAATACCTGCTTGGCCTGAAATACAGGTTTCCAGTGTTCTCGACCCTCCTCAGAAGTTCTGACATCTTTGAGTTCCTACAAAAAGCTCACGTATGCAGAGAGTTTTAAAAAAGATTGTGTAAGACATACTTTCCAATTATGCCTTTACTTCTTATATTAAATTTGACCTCTACAAACCACATGATCTATTACATGGAAGAATTTCAGTACAGCATTTGTCCAATAGATGACCTAGCCTTGTAGCCCAAATTATGTAGTTGCAAATGTTTAAAAATAGGGAGATTTCTATAATTTAATCTTGCTCTAATGAATCTCTTGGAAAATCAAAATATGTTAAGCTGTACCAACATTTCCACAAGAGGGGCCAAAATCTAAACCTGAGCAGGGCTGCCCCTTTGTGATAAGAAGTATGAATCTGCCACTGTCCTCTGGCTTCCTAAAGTTTGCCATTGTCCAGCTTCATTCTTTTATATTATCTACCTGGCTTCTCTAGTCATATGATTTTCAATTCCTCTGTTAGATCCTGAGTGTATAAAAGAGAATCTTTCCCCTTATTGACTTCAGAGTACAATGAGAGGGACCGGCAGTTCTCAGAAAACACATGTGATATGATAGACTTTATGAAGACTCTTAAAAAGCCATATACATAGTGTAGAGGGGATGTATACAGTGCATGTGTAAAGACTTTATAGGTTTTTGTATAACAGTAGGTTATTGTATAACAATAGTTCTTTATGCAGGGGTTAATTATTCCTATGAATGAGCCAGAATATTAAGAGATAATTATTCTTTTAGGAAATACTAGAGAATTTTTGCTGACATATTCTATATTTGTAGAAAATAAGTGAACATACTGGTGCAATAAGTCAAGCTGGATTGTGAAACATCTATAATTAATGCTAACGAATTTAGAAATTAACCAGCAGCCCTTTTCAGTGGATGCCTTAAACCATCATTACATCTAGTAAATTAACTACTCTCCTGTGCATCTAGGATGGCACTAACCGTGTAAAATCTTTGAGGGAATTAAGAAAGTAGTCCCTTGAATCATTTTCTGTAAGCTAGATAATGGAAAGTTTGAAAGCAGGAATTATCAGTGTGAGGAGCCACTGTAGAACATGGACTCCATCATAGCGTTAATGGCATGGAAACTTAGAGTAGAAAAGAGAAAATGGCCTGAACACAGCAGAAGCAGGAGCCATTCTAAAGGAAGAAGTCAGAGACATTTCACAAGTGTACCAAGTGTAACTGATTCATGGATTTGATGTCAGTTGAGCATGAAAAGAAAATTTGGAGATGATTCTGATGTCATATTATTCCAATATCTGATGTTTAAAAAGCTGAATGAATAATGTTGATATTAGCCAAGTTAACAATCTTGGAGAAGCAACGGTTGATTTGTGAGAAACTCATGACATATTTGAGTTATGTCGGGATTTTGGTATGTAGAGAAAAAGTTCGGAGTGTTTTCAGCAGATAGATGGTAGCTGAAGCCAGAGATTATCCAAGGGTGAGTAGAAGAAAGACCGTTATACTTTCTATCCCATGGAGACGATAAGTGAATCTGTCTCCTTCCAGGACTTTTGGTAGGGGAAAAATATGTTCACATGAAACTGCTAACCCTTTACAGTTCCCTTATGAGTTTGAAGTCTGAGTTCATACCATTATCATGGTTTGAGAACTTCAAAACATAGAAATTGGGTCCTGAGTGGTGATAGAGATTGTAGAATTGAATGCAAAAGTACACTAGAAAGAGATCACATTAGAAGATTGGTCAAAAAAAACACACTCTCTGTTCCTTAGAAAAAGCTGATCTTCACATGAACAGATCAAAAATTACATAATATTCCAGGAATTAATCCACCAGCAACAAGCTGGATTTAATAGAATAGTTGGCAATCATAAGAGAAATCTAAATCAACATAAGAGAGGCTAAAGAATAAAGGAGGTCATAAGAGGAGATTATTTTTTAAAAGGACAGGAGGATCTGAAAACAAACCAAATAGAAATTTCAGAAATAAGGAACACTTATTGATGAAACCTCATTGGGAAGGTTGAGCTGAAAATTAGATGCAGGTGAAGAAGGAATTAATGAACTGGATGATCTATAGGAGGAAAATAAATAGGAGAGGTGAAAAGATAAAATCTTGAAGGGACAGGAGTGTCTGGGTGGCTCAGTTGGTTAAGCGTTCAACTTTGGCTCAGGTCATGATCTCATGGTTAGTCGGTTATTGAGTTCGAGCTCTGCATCAGGCTTTCTCCCTCTCTCCTGTCGGCTCAGATTCTCTGCCTCCCTCTCTCTCTCTGCCTCTCCCACCCCCCAACAAAAATAAATAAAAACATTAAAAATTTTTTGAAGGGACCAAAATAATTGAAGGTATGTGAAAGCTAGAATAAACTACTCTTGCATATGCCAAAGAGGGGTTACAACAGAAAATGTACTGAGGTACTATTCGAAGAGATATATGTGTAAGAGTCGTGTAGACTAGATCCCATGGATTTTCAGAATCAAAAAGTGCAAGGAGTTCTGGTTAAGAAAAATAAATGACACCCAGATACAACTTAGATAAAATATAAACTTAAAACTAAAAAGGAAATCTTAAATCAGCAAGTAGGAAGGGGGAAGAGTATCTCAAATATGTAATTCCCTGACCATTAAGGATTGTGAACATTTTACTAGCTATTTGTACTTATTCTCTTTGAATTGTCTATTCATATCCATTCCCTGTATTTTTACTGAGTTGTTTACTTTTTTCTTCCAATTTATAAATGTAACTTGTGTGTTAAAGGCACTGATTCTGCATCTGTCCTCTGATCTGAAATAGTTTTCATAAATCAACCCTTTCTTTGTGGAACTTCTTATATACATTTATTTATTTTATATCACATAAGTCACATATATTTTCTTTTTTAAATAGTTTATTGCATATATCTATTTTAATATCTTCTGATTCTTCTGTCTTGATTAGAAACTTACCCCCAATTTCTATTTTATTTACTCCCTTTTAAAATCTTTTTATATTTGAATCTTTAACTCACCTAGAATTTGATTTATACAGGATTGAACATTTTTTCTTTCAGATGGCTAGACAACTGTGGCGTAACAATTTATTAAGTAAAGTATTCATTCCTTGCTGAATTGAAATACATTACATTAAATTTTCACAAGTAATAGGATGAATTTCTAGATTCTCCTGTGTTTCATTGATCTAATTATCTGTTCCTTCAAGTGCCTTATGATTCAATTATGGTAACTTAATGATGCATTGTATATCTAGTCATAGCCAAACAGCCACTTGTTATACTTCTTTATCATAGTTTTTTGCTATTGTCAGATTTTTCCTTTCCTGTGAATATTAAGGCATTTTTTTCAGAAGGTAGAATCCTATTATTACATTAAATCTGTATTCCATTTTTAAATTAGCATATTCATGATGCTAAACCTGTGTTATATCTTTTTATCTATTTATATCTAATTTTATATTCTTCATAAGATCATATGGGCTTCTTAATATAGAACTTCCCTCTTTTTTAATTAAAATTTTCCTAAGTAATTGATAGGCATTAGCACTACTAAGAAGGAATGCATGTATTAGGTTCTTGCTGCTAATATTAAAAAAGACTACTTTTTTTGTTTACCTTTTATTCAGTCTTCTGACTGGATTCTCACATTTAACTTTAGAAACATTTTTGCTCAGGTGCTTAGGTGGCTTAGTCAGTTAAGTGTCCGACTTCAGCTTAGGTCATAATCTCGCAGTTCATGAGTTCAAGACCCACATTAGGCTCTGTGCTAACAGCTCAGAGCCTGGAGCCTGCTTCAGATTCTGTGTCTCCCTCTCTATCTGCTGCTATCCTGCTCATACTCTCTCTCTCTCAAAAATAAATAAAATATTAAAAATTTTTTAATTAAAAAAACATTTTTGCTTATTTACAGTTGATTTTTCTAGATATAAAATCACAAAGCAAATGAAATCAATTTTGCTCTTCTCATGTTTATTTACCAATTAGCTCATTTCCTTTACCAATCTACAACAGCAGCAAAACTGAATAATAATGCCAATTGTGTGAATACTTATCAAGTTGACAACTTCAATTGAAATAGCAGCAAATGGTTCACAATTTAGAAAGACATTGGCTACTGTCTTCCATAGTGTTTTTCTATTACTATTTACCTACCTAGATCAGGAATCAACAAACTTTTTTTTAAGAGAAGAGATAGGAAACATTTGAGACTTTATAGGCCATATGGTCATTGTGTGCAAATATTCAAATCTGCCATTGTAGCATGAAGGTAGTCACAGACAAAACATAAATACTGTGTATAACTGTGTCCTAATATAACTTTTTACAAAAGCAGTGGTCAGGCTAGATTTGTCCCACTGACCATTGTTTGCTGACCCCAACCTAGATTTTTATTACGAATTGATAATTAACTTTCTAAAAGCAGGGTATCAAATGGTCATGACTACCGACTCTGAAACAGAGTGCCTGGGTTTGAAATCCTCCTCATGACTTCTTATCGGTGTAAACTTGGACAAATTACTTAACCTCTATTTGCCTCAGTGTTTTCATATAAAAATTGTGCTTAATAATCATATGTATCTTTTAAAGATATTATGAAGAAAAAAATTACCTAATACTTATAATACATTTATATGTTACACATATACTAAATGTTACATAAATGCTTAATTAGTAAACAAAATACTTTTTCAGTATCTGATACACTGATATATTTTGAAATCTATGGTTTTCTAGTATTCTACAATTTATTATAGTATATTCTTTTGATAATTACCTGAGGTCTATGTGCTACTGTTCTATTTGCATTTACTGTATATTTATATTAAAAGATGAACCTATAAATCTATTTTTAGAATACCTCTAGCAATTTTCAGTATTACATTTATAGGTATATAATACTAGTTCATTATTTCTGGAAGTTGCTATCATTTTGTTATATAGATTTTCCATTTTTAAATATCTAAATTTAGGGGCGCCTGGGTGGCTTAGTCGGTTAAGCGGCCGACTTTCGCTTAGGTCATGATCTCGCGGTTCGCGGGTTCGGCCCCGCATCGGGCTCTGTGCTGACTGCCAGCTCAGAGCCTGGAGCCTGTTTCGGTCTGTGACTCCCTCTCTCTCTGACCCTCCCCTGCTCACGCTGTCTCTCTCTCTCTCTCCTAGAAACAAATAAAACATTTAAAAAAAATATCTAAATTTAGCTAAAATTATTTAATTCTATTGACTTTTCAGTTGTAAATCATTCACATTTCCAAGGCTTTTCATAAAAAATTGTATGCTCTACTTCTTAGGTAAACTTTTAAATTTCTCGCTGTAGGAATATAAAGGAGAAATGTCAGTATTGGTTAAGTCTAGTGGTAGGCTTATGATGGCTGGTACATTATCTTTTGGATATTTCATTTAAAAAACAATTGAAATTAAAAATGCCTAAATTTAACAATATGAGGTTTTATTACTAGCTTCAAATAATGAAGATGGTAGCATCTACAAGAGGTATGCAAGAGGGATTTCTGTTAGTCTGTTTAGCCACAATAGTGTTGCATGACAAATAACCCCTAAAGCTCTGTGGCTTAAAACCATGGGTATTCATTTTCATACTAATGGATCTGCAGGTCCACTCTTTCTTAGGGAATCTATCCAGCTCAGCTAGTTGGCTCTGATTTGGGCTGTAAATTGGCCCAAATCTATACCAGGTATGTTTATTCTGGAGCTGTAGCAAACACAGCTACCTGGATCATGCATTTCTAGTAGCTGATCACTGGGAAGCAAGAGCCAGGCCAAACTAATTAGCCATGTTGAAGGCCTCTTCTCCTATCACATCTACTAGCATTCCATTGGTTAATCAAGTCTAACTATCAATGGCCAATGCACTGGGTCTCTAAGTGCACGGGGGTAAGGTGGGGGGAGGATAGTTGATGAATTTTTGCTGAGCAGTAGTCTATGCTATCACAGTTACTCATATTAGAAGTTTATTTCAAATCTTCAAGGAACCCTTCTACCCACATCAAAATAAAATGAGTCAACTGTTTTTAGTTTCCTCACATTTATTTTCCTGTTCTCAACCTGAACTAGAACTTCTGTGGGTGTTGCTAGCACTTGTGGTACCTTATGCATATTAGAAAAGGACATTTCTCTTCCTGCTTTGACAGAACTCTGTTATGTACACACCATGGTAAATGTGGGCTACATTCATCCACCCACATGCACTTGGTGAGGTGCATGTATCCAGCCACAATCTGTTCAACTTTTTATGATGACACTAGGCTTTCCTCAGGCAGAATTGTAAAATTAGAAAAACTTTAGTTCAGAACTCTTTTTCTCATATATCCTTTTGCTTATTGTTCACTGTCCATCAACCCCACTATCCCCTTGACCTGGGGCATCCCATCTAGTTACATATTGGTTACTTACTTTTCCTTTACTCAAAACTCCCAGTCATCTTTTCCAGGCTCTTTGCATTTCACATTTTCCTGCTGATGCTGGTAATGAACACTCCTGTCACATTTAAACGCTCGGCCTACATAAACTCTCTATGCTTCTCTTACAACAAAAGTAACATAGGAGATTGGTTTAGTACCTTCCTGATGGCTTCTAGAAATTTCATCTAAAGAAACATTTTATATTTGTATCTTTTCCTGCCTAAATTTTGTTTTAGATCAATTTATTTATTGCTGTCTATCTTAATGTAGAATAGAAAATGTTAAATAATTAAGCAGAATTACTTTCATGTAAGTTCTCTACAGCAAAGAAACAGGTGTTTGTTTTTCATGCATCTAAAAGCAGATACAGGAATCCATATATATGTAATGAGTGATATAATGTTCATAGTTAAGTATGGTCCATAATTTTAGTAGAGTATTTCATTTTATTTCAACTTTTAAAGTAGGTAATTTTCAGATTTCTAGAGTTCTTTAAGAATGTTCCTTTTTTCCCATTTCAGATTAAATCTCTTGATGAAGAAACGATAGTTGGCAAGATTTCCAAGCAGTGGACTGGTTTTGTTAGAGAGGCGTTTACTGACACTGATAACTTTGGTATCCAGTTCCCTTTAGACCTCGATGTGAAAATGAAAGCTGTAATGCTTGGTGCCTGTTTCCTCATTGTGAGTCTATTCTTACTAATCTGGGGTTTAGGTGATTTCTCTTGTATCATTCTGAAATGATTTAGTGAACTGTAAATTTTTAGAGGACCTTGTTAAATTTATAGGCTTTATTCAAAGACGCCTCACTTAATTCTAGCTCTTAAATTTCATTTTCTCCTGGTACTCTGGGTTCACAGGTGACTAGTTGCTCTGGAGAGGCTATACAGTTTCATATGATAACAAAAGGATCTCATGTGCTAAGAAAGGGCCCTGATCTTTGGAGTTTTTATTTAAAAATTGAAATCAGTGCTTTGGAAAAGAAACTGGGCTTGAATCTGGGCTTACATGGAATAGACGCAGGAAAACAAGATGTCCTCCTGATTCATTAAATCACCTACTACAGGAGTATAAACCTCAATAAAAGTAAACATCTAATCAAGCCATTAGTGGAACTACCATTTGAGAGGAATTACATGGGGTAGAGCAGTGATTCTGAACTTACCTTCACATTAAATCAGCTAGAAAACTTAAAAAAAAAAAAAAAAAGCAAGTTTTAGGACATACCCCAATTTAACTAAATTAGAAGTTGTATAGCTCCCACTGACTCCATATGCAGCCAAATTCAAGAACTCACAATAGTTTCCAACCCTAGCTACACAATAGAAACACCTGAATAGCTTCCAGACCCCCTATGTCAAGATTGCCTCCAGGTAGTAAAACAAAATCTCTGGAAGTGGGACCAGGCTTGCAAGCTGTTTAGAACTGCCAGGTGATTCCAATATGCAAGCAAGCTTTAGAACTACTTGATGAGTATCTTAAACACTGACGTGGAGATTCAATCCCCAAAAAAACTAGAAAGTGGGAGAATATACAGAAAAAGGATCCAGTTATTTCAACAAATAAATGTTGGGAAAATAAAAAGATAAAAATAACAATAAGAGAGAGACTTAAGAGGCATCAACTCAATGTAATTTATAGATCATATTTAGATACTGATTTGAACAAACCAGTAAAAAAGACATTTATTAGGACTTCAGAGAAATTTGAGTATTGGCTATTTGATATTTTAATAGATTTTTTAAAAAAGATATACTAATCATATTGGGCTTATGCAGAAACAAGAGTCCAAGTTTTTAGGGGCACACACTGAACTGTTTCAGTGTAAAATGCTATGATCTCTCAGATTTGCTTTTAAATAAAGAGGGTGAGTGCATGCCAATTTAGGGGATGGAGTAATTAATGAACCAAGATTGGTTATGTTAACAATTACAGCTGGATGAGTGGCCGTTTGGATTTTATTTTGCTATTCTGTCTAATTTGGGATACACTCAATATTTTCTGTATAAAATTAAAAATATAACCACAGTTCTGTTTGAAAATTGTGTTTTCACTGTTTATTTCACATGAAAAGTAAATTAAAACTTAACCATAGGAAGCTAATTGACAAAAGGTAGACTTACCATCACCAAGGATCTGGTGTGCAAAGGGAAGAGATGGCCATCTGGGGTGTTTGGATAGGTGAGAAATGGGATTGGGATTTGTGGTAAGGTTATAAAGGAAATGACTGTGGGGTAGATTGGACCACTTCTCAAGGACTTCTAAATATTGGACAACTTCTTGTAGATGGAAAGATACTGAAAATTAATTTGCTTGGTTTTAAATGAGAAATAAATAAAATAGATATAAATCCAAATATTAGATTGGTGACTAGATGAGAAGTGAATTGACGAAAGGTAAAATTGCAATAGTGCAGTTGCAAGTGAGTGGTGATAAGGATTCAATTTTTTCCTTTGTGAACCGATAAGAGAAAATGATAGACATGAGAGAGAATCTGTAGGATTTGATGATAGTCATAGGGAAGTGGGTCTGGTTAGACACTGATGCGGTGAGGCAGTTTGGGAGAAACTGGTGGACAAGTTTGCAAGAGAAATCATAAAGCTAGGCTAAAAAAAGTCTAAGATACATGCCACCTCTAAGATGGCTGTCATTCTCCTTAAAAAAGTCTGAAATTTCTACATTGTATATCAGTCTCAAGAAAAGTTGTATTACTAGAGAAGGAGTACAAAAAGTTAAGAAAGATTGAAAAGGGGTATTCTAAGTGGCATATGAAATTTAGAGAAATTACCAGAAATTATTAAATGCATGCAGGCAATCATTAAGTGAACAGAATTAAAGGATTTAATTGCTATTAAAATGGAAGGCTGAAGCTATCAGTTTTCCCCATATCTACTTATCTGGTCAATTTTTCTCTTTAGCAGATAAATTATTATTATTCATCAGACCCCTTAACATTTATGATCTCTGCTTTGTTGCTGAAAACTCATTTCTGTATTTTTGTTTTTATCCAGGATTTCATGTTTTTTGAAAGGAGTGGAAACAAAGAATAAAAAGGAGTGTGATAGAGGATTAATGGAGGCCTCAGAAAGCATGAAGTCCATGTACTTAGTGGGACTATGTCAAGGAAAGACTAATTGTTTTTCTTCTTCTTAACTGAAATGACGTATAGTTACTGTGATGCCTGAAGCTCCTCATATATGTGATGACTTTTCAAATTACAGAGTTTATTTTCTATACCACTTACCTATAAATGTTTTTATGCATTTTGTTTATACATTTTCTCTTTCATTGTGTATTTGAGAGAAAGGACACAGGAATTTTTACATTAATATGAAACTTCTTGTACTAAATTATTCTGAACTATAATATGTTTTATTCAACTTTTACACCAAATTAACTAAAGACTTATTAAAGTAGTAAATAATGCATTTTATTATAGTTCCAATTTATTTCACATGCAACAATTAATGTTATTTTGCAAATACTGTATATTCAAATACATTGAAAATGAATATACTTGGTTTCCTTTACAACTGTGTTAAAATAATACTTAATATTCATACTACCAAAGAAAAACAAAATGTGTATTTGTTTTTTGTTCAGCAGATCACAGCATATTTAACTTCTTTTGTAAGCTAATCTGCTACCATAAAATGATTTTCATTATTGACAAGAAAATAAATCACTGATTTTTTTTTTTTTTTATGATTTTCAATGAAAAAGACCTGTTCTAAAGAGGACAAATTTAAAAGTTCACTCTAGAACTGGAGCACTATTATAATTTTTGAAGTAATTGTTTACACATGGAATGTTTAGCTCCTGTATACATTCTGTCATTCATATAGCATGATAATTATGAGATCACTCAGGTGTTAAATATAACATATATATTCCATCTGAGTAGAAACTTAAGTAATGGTCTGTTATTTACCTGAACAATCAAACAACTGAATTAAAAATTATTGATATATTTCTTTGCGTATTTCATTTTTGTATTTAAACAAACTGTGAACAACTAATTTAGATGGTATTCTGAACCTTACACATTTATTACCTCTTCCCTTACAAATCTCCTTTAAAAGGAGCAAATGCATAAATTCATACCAGGACTATAAACTAAGATTTCTACCTGTCAGGAACAAAGGAATGTTTATACTGTGTTTTGTAACAAAAACTGGATGGAGTGAGAGGAGATGACTAACCCACGGTTTAGCTCCTGCAAAGGAAAAGTGTTTTTAGGAAAATGAAGACTTAGGGGAGAGACTCCCATTCATCTTCAACAGAACCCCAACACCACCACTAGCCCCAGTGTTGAGAACATTGGGATGAGAGGGGTGCTGTAGGAAAACTGATGGCTACCTTTCCTTAGTCCAAATAATTCCCCCATGTCAGGTTCCAACAAGGAGAGGTAACCAAAATGCCACATTCAGTTTACAGTTAGTACAGACAACGTGCCAGGTAAAAAGAGGGTATTTGCATGGCTGTTTCCTAGTGGCATTACTTGTGCCAAGTCCGGAAGGGGAGGGCTTTCCAACCTAGCTACCAGGCACCATGGGCATTCACAGCTCAGGACTAGCTAGAAATCTCAGAGCTGTTGTTGTGTCCGGGTGTATTTATGGGAGGGGAGTTGATGGGTGATGAGGTGTCCAGGAGGATAGCATCTTAGGGTCTTAAGATAACACAAGTAGAGAAACCTAATGATTCCAGTTAGAAACAATAAGGAATGTCATCCTTGTAAGTTCATTAGTGTGTTTATCTTGACTCCTTTAACAGTTATTCTATGACCGTGAAAACAATAATCACATTTAATCCAGTAGCTATAGTTATAAGGCCCTTTTAAAATAGGATTCAAGGCTCCCCAAGAATTTTTCTGCCCCAAAAAAAGAAAATGAAGGGAAGAAAGAAGGTAAGTTATTTTTTTGCAGAAGTCAACTAAAAAAAATGTAGAAGAAATAATGGAATTAGAAAATCACCATTTGCCAATTATCATCAGTATTAGGTTCCAGCAAGAAAAAATGATCAGGTGCCTGGGTGGCTCAGTCGGTTGGGCATCTGACTTTGGCTCGAGTCATGATCTCATAGCTCGTGAGTTCAAGGCCCATATCGGGCTCTGTGCTGACAGCTCAGAGCCTGGAGCTTGCTTAGGATTCTGTGTTTCCTCTCTCTGCCCCTCCCCTGCTCATTCTCTGTCTCTGTATCAAAAATAAGTGAACATTTAAAAAAATTTTTTTAAAGAAAACATGAATGGCTGCTAAAATCAGTGGTAAAAGCTTGAGGTATTCCTATATTATATATTATACTGTATTACACTGTCTCAAAGTAGCTCCCTATAAGATACTAACTCTAAAAAAAAGTAAGATTTTAAACTTACTATACATACTTAAACATACAACTATAGTGGAGTATGTGAGTGGCTAAGTCCGTTGAGGATCAGACTTGATTTTGGCTCAGGTAATGATCCCAGGATCATAGAATCAAGCCCCACCTTAGGCTCCACTCACTGAGTCTATAGCCTGCTTGGGATTCTTTCTCTCTCTCTTCCTCTGCCCCTCTCTTCTGCTCCTGCTCTCTCTCTCTCTCAGATAAGAATTAAAAAAGTAACTATACAAGTACTGTAGGATATAGTTCAGCTAAGCTTTCTGACATAACAACAAATATTCCCTTTCCTCTAGTTTCCATTGTTCATCATTTTTATTTGAGTCCTCCCCTTTGATGCCTTTAAATCCATATTTCTACCATCAGTTTGTCCATGATGAGGTAGGTGTTCTATAAAATAGTACATATTTTCTCTACCATGTTCTTCACTTCCTTCTGAGTACTGACAATGGAGTCCCTTATATCCAGAATTCTGGGAACAATTTACTTAAGGCAATCTTGGCTTTCTCTCTCACTTCTCAAAATTCTTCCGGTTTCTACCCATTCCCAAATCCCAAAACTACTTACACATTTTGTTATTAGTAGCAGTAGCACCCCACTTCCATATCCCAAAACCTATATTAGTCTACTGTTGCTGCTATAACAAACCACTACAAACTCAAGGGCTTTAAACAATACAAATTTAATATCTTAACAGTTCTGGAGGTCAAAAGTGAAATAAGTCTTAAGTGGCATCAATTGAATGTTTCCACAAAAATCATATGCTGAAGGTCTAATACCAGTGTAAATTATTCTAAGGAAGTAATTAAGGTTAAATGAGCATAAAGGATGCTGATCTGATTAGTGTCCTCCTCTCACGCACCAGCACCAAAGGAAAGCCTTGTGAGGGCATACAAAAGGGGACATCTACCAATCAGGAAGAGAGGTCTCATCTGTCTTTTGTTTTTTTGTTTTAATTTCTGAGAGAGAGAGAGAGAGAGACAGCGTGAGCAGGGGAAGGTCAGAGAGAGAGGGAGACACAGAATCCGAAGCAGGCTCCAGGCTCTGAGCAAGCTGTCACACAGCCCAATGCAGGCCTTGAACCCATGAACCGTGAGATCATGACCTGAGCCAAAGTCAGATGCTTAACCGACCTGAGCCACCCAGGCGCCCTTCTCATCTGAAACCAATCATGCTGGCATCTTGATCTTGAACTTCCAGGCTTGAGGACTATGAGAAAATACATTTCTGTGTTTAAGCCTTCTAGTCTGTGATATTTTGCTATAGTACCCTAAACAGACTAATAAACTAGATTAAAATCAAGATATTGAAAGAGTTTCTTTCTGGAGGCACCTGAGTAGAATCATTTTCCATGCCTTGTCCATCTTCACAGGCTGCCTTTATTCCTTGACTTATAACTTCTTTCCATCTTTAAAACCAGCAAATGTTTCCATTATAATATTTCTATCTCTGATTCCGATTCTGCTTTGCTCTCCGACATTTAAAGGACCCTGGGGATTACACTGGACCAACTTGGACAATCAGGGATAATGTCCTTATTGTAAGGTTACTTGATTAGCAAATTTAATTCTATCTGCAACTTAATTCACCCTTGCTATGTAACATAACATTGGGTTTAAAATAAGGACATTGCTGTGAGGCTGTTCTTCTTCCCATTGTGTGTGTGTGTGTGTGTGTGTGTGTGTGTGTGTGTGACATAGAGTATTGCTTTTCATGTGTTTTAATAGGATATAACATTTGCCAATGTTGATATTTGTAGCTCTGATTTGCATATTCTTTTGGTTATTTATAGTACTCTGTTTTATGAATAGAATAGCATGTATTTACCTATTCTGTTGTGGACGGGCATTTTGGTTGTTGCTAACTATGACAGTTAACATTATGTTAACCTGGCTAGGCTTAGATACTCAGCTATTTTATCCAACATTATGCTACATGATTCTGTGAAGGTATTTTTTTAGGTGAGATTAACATTTAAATCAGTAGACTTTGACTAAAACCAATTACCCTTCATAACATTGGTGAGCTACATCCAATCAGTTGAAGGCCTTAATTTAAAATGATCAACTCTCCCTCAAAGAAAAGAGAATTATGACGACACATCACTTTCAGACTCAGAAAGGGAGAATACAGGAAAAGCACTCCCCCTGAAAGTAGCTGGAGAGAAAGAAAAAGAGCAGAAACACTCAGAAGGTACCAAATAAGAAATCTGTTCTCCAAAACCACTGACAGGAAGAAAAGACAGGCTTTCAATAACATTAGGACTCTATAAACAGGGAAGTGCAGAGTCAGAAATTATGGAGCTCAGCACCTGGTGGTGTTCTGGTGGGGAGGAGTGTGAATCCCCAGGACCAGGCAGTGAGGTTCGAAGGGCCCATGGGCCACACAGGGAGAGTGGTTCCCCTGCTTGGAGGACATTTAGTAGAGTCCATATGGCCTCCCCATAGGCAGAAGGAAGAAGCCAGAATGGTCTTTGCCCTTTCTCCTTTGGCAGCAAAGGGTTCCCTGGCCACCACAAACTAATTTTCTCTAAATCTGCTACCGTAGCTTAAGAATCAAAAGAGTGGAATGAGGAGGAAAGGTGATAAATGTAAATTAAAGGGGGCAGCCAGATGTCCGAGGCCAGATACTCCCCTTGCGTGCATTTGGCTTCTGCAGTCTTGCTTGCCTCTTGCATCAGCCAGCAGCCAGGAATCAGATGCTTCACTATACTAGT